CAACAGCTGAACTACTTACTTATCATTAACTTATTCAACGCGTAGGTTTGTATCATTTACAAATGTCGTCTTAATAGATCCCCACAATTTTTGATCATACACATTAAGAGAAAGAATTAGGTTCCGTTGAATGCATATTACTGATCAGATGTTTTGTTTTCCCAAAAAAGCTTCACTAAAACAACAGAATCATTCAACCAACCAACCAACATATGTGAACTTCAAAAAATAAGAAACGATCTATATATATATTCATTTTTATTATAAAAACTATTATTGTAGAATAATAATAATAATTCCGTAACAGATCAATAATAAAACACTACTAAAAAAAAATTATGATTATATCAGTGCAAAGTCATTAAATTGATGAAAAAGCAATTTATTTATTTATTTGTGGAAAATTTTTTAATTATTACTTGGAAAAAACAATAAAAATCTATTGATATATATGTATATATGTATAGAAAAAGTGTATAGGCATATGTAGTAGGGTATAATACATTGTGTTTTGAAGAGAAACCATTGTGTATGTGATGAAGTGACCACCTAATGTGATTTGTTCATGTGTACTAATTAAGTACTGTTAAGAGATTTATGCAGTGAACTTTGAATTATATGATAGTTAGAGATTAAAGATTTTCTAATCAATTTACCGAAACTTAATTAAGCAGAACAAAATGTCATACTGATTAAATATTTAGAGATGAATAACTATTGATCCGAGGTAATTATTGTAATTTACGTTCAAAAAATAATGTGACAGTGAATAGTACGATATATGTATATATGAATCTAGTTTTTTTAACATCATACGGAATTCTTATGATGAATTAAACTCCGAAAACCGTGCAAGAAGGACAGCTGACAGACTCGTTCGAGGTGATGATTGGTGTCGGACAAGGTTGCTTACTCTCAACCTATCCCCTTCTGCTGGCAATCGACTAGATTAAGAAGACGTCAACATCTGGAGAAAAGCACGGTATCTAATGGACAGCTAGCATGCAGCTGGACGATTTGGACTTCGCAGATGATCTGGCTCTCCTATCGCACACGCAACAAACAAATACAATAGAAGACGACCAGTGTAACAGAAGCCTCGGAAGTAGCAGGTCTCAACAAACATTAAAGGTAAATCAAGATTCTGCGACACAAAACAACATGCGCTAACCAAATCACTCTTGATAGAGATGCCCTGGAGGAGGATAACACCTTTACATATCTAGGTAGCATCATCGACGAGAAAGGTGGATCCGATGCAGATGTGAGGGCGCGGATCGGCAAAGCAAGGGCTGCATTTATACAATTGAAAAATATCCGAAATTCCGAACAAATATTAATCAACACCAAAATCAGGATATTCAATAGAAATGTCAAGACAGTTCTACTGTATGGAGTGGAAACATGGAGAACTACCAAAGCCATCATCCAGAAGATACAAGTGTTTATTAACATTTGTCTATGCAAAATACTCCGGATTCTTTGGTTAGAAACCATCAACAATATGATAATGTGGTAAAGAACAAACCAGATTGCAGTTGAGGAATGAATTAGGAAGAAGCGGTGTAAGTGTATAAGACACGCATTGGGGAAATCACCCAACCGCATTACAAGACAAGCCCTAACTTGAAACCTACAAGGCCAAGGAATAAATTACGTCGAGAAGTGGAGACAAACATGAGAAGAATGGACAAAAATAGGACAGAACTGGAAAGGGAAGTCCAGGACAAAGTTGGAGAATACTGGCCGGCAGCCTATGCTCCACTGGAGGTAACAGGTGTGAGTGAGTAAGTCATTAAGTATACAATCCAGTTTGATTACCAAGTAACAAGATGATAGATCATTGCTGACCATTTTCCAAATGAATGCCCTTCATTTTAAGGGGGAAAAAATACTTTTCTAGGTTTTCAATGTTGGTCTTACAGCATCTCAACATTTACTAATTAACTTTAATGTTCAGTCATTTAAATTAATCGATATTAGGATCAACCATTTATATTTATAATAATAGTTCGATTACAGTATCGACAATTGTATATTTGATACTGTGTGTGCATGCTTAGTGGGTTATTACATGTCTAGTCTATCATTGCCTGATCATAAGTACTTAGTCATGTTTCATTGCGCAGTGTTAGCACATTAGCCTTCTCCGATTCGCTTCGCTTCGGTTGTACTCATTTCATTCTCATGTCTGTCTGTTTAAATGAATGCATGAAATAAATTCATCCGCAAAACTGTATTTGGTTTCTTTTTACCAATGACTTACAAACAGGGTTTGCCTAAGTGTGATAGACGAAAATCAAATCGCTTACTCGATCATTCGTCTGAAATGGAGTCGAATTGCCCTAACCCAGCCATTAAAGCTTAAAATTTGATCGATTTTATTATTTCGATAAAATTCATCAACAATCTCCACAACCCTACAATGTAAACTGTCATTCATTACTCACTAGTGACTAGTTTAAAGGGGGAGTTTTCGAAATTCTAATGAGAAGCTATGACAAGTGGGGCGAAAAATTATGCAGGGTGTGAGGTAGACATTTACTGAAGTCAACAAAAGAAAGTCATGTATGCGCATTCAGAGGTTGGAAGCTGAAGCAATTAAGTGTGTGACTGAAGGTCCTGGGTCCGTTCGCTCATGCGTATTTGTGGAAGTACACTTATAAGGAGCCCTATAATAGGACAAAATAGCCGTCAAATGTCTTCAAAATTGTAAACAACTGGATCGTTCGATGATTTCAATGAAATTCTTACATAAATACATTATAATATTTATACATTTTACACGTTTGTTTTACGGTCGATAACCACATACTTATCGAAATTATTAGATAGGATTTTCAATCAATCCCATGTCCTTCAATCTTTCTTCATGTTAATGTCATCATTTTGTTGATTAGATTTTTGTATGAAATATGCCAACCATATGTACACATGTTTGTTTTAAATGTTAATTTAAACAGATTTTTATCACTGAAACCTGCCAATCATAGATTAACTAACTAGGTATGTAATTGAATAACATATTTAAGAAAGATTATGCAATCAATGTCAAGTTTAGTGAGAGGGTAATATAAAGTATAGAAGCAGGAAAATAGAAATATTGAAAGCTCTGCTGGTGAATAACATTTAGTAAAGAGAACTGATAATTGAATAATTAGGGGCCGTAAAGACACGGATTTACAATGCGAGGGCAGCATTTTTGCAATCGTAGAACATTTGGAACTGAAAACAACTATCAACCAACACCTAAGTCAATATTTTCAAAGAGAACGTCAAGACAGTTCTACTGTATGGAGCAGAAACTTGGAGAACTACGAAAGCCATCATCCACAAGATACAGGTGCTTAATGACAATTGTCTACGCAAAATATTGAGGATCCGTTAGCCAGACACCAAAAACATTTACTCTACTGTAGTATAGAACAAACCAGATTCCAATTGAGGAATCAGTTAGAAAAAGTAATGAAGGTGAGGAAAGCACCCAACTGAGTCCCAAGGCAAGCCCTAATTTCGAACCCTCAAGATCAAAGGAAAAGAGGAAGACCAAAGAACACATTATGTCGCGAATGGGAAGCAGACATGAAATGAATGAGCGGAGATTGATTAGAACTGAAAAGAAAGGCTCAGAACAGAGTAGGTTGGAGAATTACAGTGGGCGGCCTATGCTCCATCAAGGGTAACAGGCGTAATCAAGTAATTAATAGGACAATGCACGTGAAACTACGAAAAACCGGCGTAATCTATCGCAAAAGATCAGCGAAAACAGTAGAACAAGAAGTAAAAAATTGATAGTTACGCAATTTAAAAAAAATATTACTCAACATTTAGAAGAAGTGCAAAACTATGGAGCATCAGTAAACAAAACAGATAATCAGAAATAAAAGAGAACTAATTTGCACATTATTCATTCTGGACACAAAGGATACATACGAGTTATATAGATTTTCTGGTTGTTCGATTCTCCAGGATTGTTCAGTAATGAAATTATTGTACATTCAGAGATTTTAGAAACTATCATAAACCACAGGTGATTGTGGGTGATAGTAGGATTCAGCAAACGAGACTTATACTAGGTTCGAGTCGCAGTGTGAACATTATTATTATTATTATTACTTAAGCAAAACTTTTTAACACAAAGAGACATCTAGATATTTATACACCACACAAATCATCAAAATTATGCGTGGGCTGGGATAGAGCCCGATTGTTCAAATCGAACTAGGTGGTTTTCTCAGAGGATCAAAGCAGTGGAGCAACGTCAGGACATGCAGTCGGACTGTAGCAAGAGACAAACAATAGGTTTACATACCGTTTGTTCCGTCATGATCCTGGAATCTATGTGCACCATCGTTTAAGGATCAGAGTTTTCGAAGCGCTCTAGGCGGATCCTCTATACGCACCAACCCTATTAAAGCCCCTGCTAGACACTCGCTTTTCGTCCTCTCAGTTTTGTAAACACTCCCGACACAAGAAGAGAGTAAATAGGATTTCTTTGGCAGTGGCTATACACGCATGACAATGTGACAGCATTTAGAGAGGCAGGGCATCCTCTCCTCGCTCTCATCTATATCAGAGCATTTGATTGCCAAAGTGAACATGGACGCCAGGATACAGGTAAATGCCGTTTATGAGTTTCACAAACAGAACAAAATACACATCCTCGACTCGATTCCTAGCAATAGTTCAAATATATTTTTAAAAAGTATAACTAGCCGCTACATTGAACATGTCTGTTCAGCATGCACATAACCCAATAGAGATAGACTGATATTATCAATCACAGCTCATCATGACCACACACACACACACACACATACAAAATATCATCTACAACATTGTTCAGCTGTCAAACAAAACATAGAATCTAAGCAAAAATAGAAAATACTATTTGAAATGTCAATCATGAAAATGTCAATAATTGAGATTAACTTGTAAAAAAAAAAGACAGAGTTGTTAAATGTTATCAATAAAATAAGTGTTTATTATGAAGAACTTACTTTCAATTCAACATTATAACAAATTTGGCTGCTTTCGTTGTGTAAATTAATATGAGCTGAGAATGTTTCACCCAAATAAATAGTACTATAGAAATTAAATGGAAATGAAAAACAAAAGCTTTGAATGTGAGAATCCTTTAGTTATATTTTTTCTAAACTTTAAACATAATTATCAGTTGTATTTTTGATGAGATGAAGTTAAAAAAAACGGAAATGACTAAAAAAAATAATTTTTAGCTGAGTTTTAGTTGCACGATAAAATGCTTTGGAAATGTATAATTTTTGAATTTGATGCCAATTTTTGAAGGTTTTGTTTGTGAAAATCCCTCCCTACGATTGGTTCTTATTGATTTCTTCAGTTGTACATTTTGTTAATCTGTTCGATTACATTTTGAGATGATAATATTTGTATTTTATTATAGTTTCTATTTTTTTGCCTTCACTGAGTTTCTGTGTTTCTTTCTGAACTGCATTTATGTTGTTTAAGTTGATACTTAGTCATGGCGATAGCCATATTGATTTGTTCCTTTTTCGATTGTGTCATTTGTATTGACTGGAATTGTGCATTTTGATTGTGAATTGAAGCACTCTTTCAGAATAGGAAACATTCTGTGTTATAAAGCAACCAAATATTATCTGTCGAACGAATCTGATCTATCCAGGAGAGATAGAATATCATTTATTTGTTGCTGTTGATTTGAATAATTGAACAATTGTTGGTGAAATAAGTGAGTGGTAATATTTGTTTAGGTAATGAGGTATATTTATATTTATGATGAATATTAGTACCGTCATTTACCCAACCACTTGTTTTGGTTTCAACTGTGCAAGGTGCATATCTAAACTACCTAGATAGTTATTCTTCAGTCCAAACCTCAGTTTGGATCCTACAATTGTGACCAATATGGGCTCGAGTGGTTTTATGGGTATGACGGCGGATATTACTTCCCGGCTGCCCACATCGTGGATAGGGTTCTGGTTGTCAGAAGGGGCATCGGCATCATGACTTCCGAAGGAACTCGGCTTTCATCTTCTAAATGAAGACCTTTTAATTTCCAGAGCAGAGTTTATATGGTCTGAATTATTATTTCTTGTTAGCGTTTTCTCGGCAAGTTAGTTTTTTGCGGGATGGGGTCGCCAACTCCAATCCCAGCCACCCTCCTTTACCCGGGTTTGGAACTAGTAGTAACCCCGAAGAGTCTACAGGAGAAGTTATAATTTATGGAGAAAAAAAGCTCAAATAATATTTCATTTAAATCATGAATCGATCAGTGTTAGACCGACATCGGAACCCTGGAATCACTTCAAAGTCGTTTCGTTTTAGTATGGGACTCATCAAGAGTGCTCATGCATGACCTCCGCATCCACCAATCGAACCTAGGACGTTTGGGCTTGCGCACGAAC